TTTCGATCCCTACTTACTTATTCCACTGCCCTTTGATCTTCTGGAACATCCTAGTTTAAAGCGCGGTCTTACGATGAAGTGCGTACGCAGCGTGGAAGTACATGCACCATTGGAAGCAGTAGTCAGGGGCCCAGGGAAACAAAATTTTGGCGTTTTGTGGTCAAAGGTGCGCTAGTTGCAGCGTACAAGGCTTGCCATTCCTTTCTGAGCCCCGCCACGGTCTGTGCTCCGCCCCCAGCAGCAGCGCCCTTCGATTGCCAATGTGACGAGATATTCCACTTCCAGAGTGTATCCTATAACTTTTCATGGAATGCGTGATCAATCAAAGCATGATCTTTGCTGGTATGATGGTGGCTATCGGTTTAACATGTGCAAACGACCTCTTAATTGGTTGCTAGCTCGTCCATTATCGGAGGTCAACGGGCAAAGAAAGGGGTCCCATTTTGCGCGTTCTTGACGGATTTCTTTGCTTTTTTCGCCACTGGGCATTATTCAGCATCCCACTTCCACTATGAACCCAGTCCAATCTTATCGTAATCCTTCGCTTTAACCAGCTCCCTTCAAAACGGTGTAAAGGATATTTCACTCTTCCACCTGTGAGGTCGCGGTAGAGAAGGTTATCCCGGAGTTCTCCTACAGCCTTAATCTTACCCTTTCCGAATACTACCCTCCAAACACCTCTGTATTCCTGCAATGAAAAATGTTCCATTCGGGTGATAAGATCAAAACGGCAGCTACCCTCTCCCTCCATCATGTCTTTCCTCTCATCCTTTTGAGAAGGAACTCACAAACCGCGCATCATGCCTCTGATTTTCACACCAACTCGCCATTAAAAAGATTACAAAATAATTCAAGCGGGGGCTCTCCGATTAATCTACTGAAATATCGTATCCAATAATGGACATCTTGGATCAACTCACTTCTGAATCGTTCCTGCTTCTTGTATAATATTTCCTACAGCTATCTGCAACGTTGACACGCAAAAAATGCACAGAGCGAAGGAATGGCGGCCCCTAGGGTCTGTCCTATCGTTGTTACTTTTCGAAAATTTTTTTACGACCCCCCTCCCCCAACGTGGATTTGATACGACCCCCTTTTCCATATACCTCCACCATCTCCATCTCCGTCAAAACCCCGCCCACTTTTTCCTCCAAAAATACCGTCGAGCGGGGGAGTAGTCACTGTGAAACCATAAATATCTCTCCGAAGATTCTACGTTTCTAATTCCCTCCTCCATTTCACACGTTTTTACTATACTCTCGCCCGCCTACTACCACGATTATAATACTATAGTTTCAACTACGAATTCCCACACGGAATTCGAGCCTCAATCCACACCGGAATTCGACGCGACTAAAGGGTGAACGGACCCCCCCGTTGTTACTCGAAATATCAAACTTGCGTGAGTGCGTGGACCCTTATGTTCCGAGTGCCTTTCCAGTATAAGAGGGTAGGGGGAATCACGTACTAACATACAGGGCGATACTAAATCAATTCAATTTGCTTTCCAGTGCAGTTTTCAGCGTATCTCGCTGACTGTAGTAAGGGTGACACTGCATGGTCATTTCATAAAAAAATAGCAAGATTGGAACAAAAGCAATGAAAAATGAATTTTAATAAAAAGAGTAAATATTCAATGATACATGGTAGCTGAAGTTATGTTCTAAAAACGTAAATAATATTTTTCACAGCTACGCATCACCTCCTCCAACTGATGACGAGACTCAATTCTGGATCCACACTCAAAAAACGGTAACCATGTTTTAGCCTAGCCGTACCACATGAATTACTTCTTTTGTTCATTTTGCAGTTCAGCTGTTGCGGAGTTCTCAGTTCAAAGGATTGGTCGTTCACTGAGGCTCAGTTGCAAGCCTATTCCTGCTTCCGACCGAATTATGCCAATGTAGGTCGAACAGCTCTCTAGAATTGACTTGACGATTTTCTTTCCAAACTTTACATGATGACCTCCAATATTTTATTCACTCAAATCCACACGTTCCTTATACAAGGCTGACAAAAAAGCATATTTTTAACACTGTGTAGTCACCACCGTCGCACAGATGTGCGTAACAGTCCCTACGTCTATAAATCTACACCACTAGTAGGATAACTCTTCGCCTGAATTCTTCTCTGTTACCGTACATGAGTATCTAACATGTAGAAAAATCTCCCAAACATGACAGGTGTCTCCTGGCTCCGAACTCAAGCCTATCATTGCAGGGATGTGAAAAGCAAATTCGCTCTCGTATTTCTACAGACACACAGTACCTTGGTGCAGCCTCCATGGCTGTAGTTCTTATTGAGGTGAGATCCCCACGTTTATCATCAAGCGACTTCGTCACAATTCTAATTTCAGATCATCGCCAGTTTCCTTGCTGGTTATCGAGCTTATAACCTTGCATATCCGGAATGAATCAAGCGTTGGATCCAGTGCCTGCCTCTATACAATTATAGACATTTATTTATATCAATGGAATGAACATCGAAGAGAATTTTGTGTATCCTGGTGACTTGGGTGGCTTATAAAATCAACGTTTCGGAAATATGAATAATATAAGTATGAAGCCCTCGATGATAATCAATCCCTTTTGGGACGCGCCACGCATTCCACTTCCATTTGTAATTGTGCTGGTGCTTCGAATGCGATGTGGCCTATACAATGACTTGCGGGGACCAGCCTGTGCAAGTCAATGTTTATGGCCTTAACCTTAATATCAATTAATCGGCCCCGAAGGACAAAACGATTGTTTTAGGCGGCGTACGATCCAAAATTCGATCCTCTGACCGTATGCCTGGTAAGCGCGCCACTTGCCTCCATACTACTTCAAAAGCACAGCTGCATAGGGAATCCATAAAAATGACTCTTAAACCATTGCGTCATAGAATGAAGCATAATGTGTATCCCTGTTGCATTACGCCAGCATCATGTTTAAATATGCGTTTCTTGACTAAGAAAAGTCCTAAATTCTGTCGACATCATGTTACACATCGGATAGTGCTAAAACACTAACTTAGAATTTCAGCTAGTAGTTCACATACGTCAGTCTATTGTTCGTTGAACAATGACATCCTCCTGACTCGAGGAACGCATGAATTTAGTAAATTGAAAAAATAAGCCTCGATAATCTCGTTGTTGATCAAAAATGAACGTGGGAATCATTGAAAACTCAGCCCGCAGTGATGCGAAGCTCCGTGAGTAGCTGAAATTACGTGTAACGTAATGAAAATCTTGTTCCTACTTGCTAATCGCAGTGCACTTTGAAGAAAGTTCGCTGTTTCCTTTTTTATCCCACATTCATCTGCAACCTAATTCTATCGATCGTTTTGTCACTATTCTCCAAATTCGAACGCTTTGCGATTCTTTCAATGCGTCGCCTAATACGTGGCCGCCCCAAGGCGCACTTCTTTCCATGCGTTCCCTTGCCTCCGCCCCACCTACCCGATACCGTCCCCAGTGTGCTTTTCGTAGATTGTTTCGCTTCGCAAACTGAATGTTCCTGCGCGAACCTTGTGCGATGTTTCTAGTGATCAAACTGGCGTATTCGAGTTTGGAAGGAAGATTTTCCAAGAACGAATCTAATTTTTAATCGAGGTGGAGATTGTGCAACATGTAGAGGTGAGTGCGCAGCGATTTTTGCAATTATACATGCTTACCGTTCTTATGAACTTTTCGAGTTGGAGTTTTTTGGCCACTTAGATTATGTCCTTAGAAGTTCAGGGTACAGATTTTATTAGATGATCGTTTCCAAATGATCACTGTGTGAACGCTGGTCAGTGGTCCTATTAGAGCATTTCTGCAGTAACATTTTGAGAGTCGAAAAAATTAAAGCTGAGAGAAAATCGTCTTCCACTGAAAGCATGTTTGGTTGCTTCTGCTTCTAAAAACCCGAACAGCGCAACAGTGGGAGCGATGCTGCAAGATGCTTATCCGTTGCGATAGACCTCCAGAATGTCTTTCACTACAGCGAATGTTGAATGCCGACTTTTAAAATCTTGGAGAGGAACCACAAACCAAACCAAAAATCCTCTGAGCCAAATGACAGTGTTTTTGAGGTGCACGGAAAGTTGGAGAAAATTTCAAGCGTCACCGCAATTTGTGAATATTTTGTTGCTCTCGGTCAAACATCCATTGGACTCATCGAGGTTAGCGAAGAGTAGCTTGTGTTCATGTTCACGAGCGCTGATTTCCTACAGCGCATTCTTGGGTTAGCAAAAGTCGTGAAATCGAAGGAGTGAATTGCAAGCTGCGCCGTATAGGTGTTCTAAAATGGTGGTCTTTGTATGCTTCCTCAAACCAAGTTGAAACAGAACAGTTTCTGATCTTGCTTACGTAGCGCTCTGAATCACAGTGCATTTTTCACATGAAAATTAGATTCTCGAAGCCATCCAATAAGACATTTTTTATTAACTGTGTTAAACTGCTAACCACATCTCATTTTTTTTGGTGAATCTCATATTACAAAACCGTTGACTGTGCCGGGCTTGCATGTAAGAGCTAGGAAGTTGAAGTTTGGTATCCGTTCTCTTAAATAGCAGCCATTGCAAATCAAAGTCTTGGAACTCGAGCATTTATTTGTAGAAGAGAACCTATTTCGTCTGCTTTTTCCAGTGTTCCGTTTCTTCTATCAACGAGATTTTGAGCTGGAATCTCTATTGAATTGAGAAGATTCACTTCCCTTATTCGGGCTTTCGATTGATCCTCTTTCTTAACACCACGTCAGAAACGCTAGGAAGAAGAGGCGTTTGGTAGTCTAGCAGGCACTTGTCAGACCTTGAGCCACGTTTAGGCCTTCCAATGGTTAGAACCCCAAGCTATTGGTAAACTTTTACATCTACATCAAACCCATTGGCTGAAAAATCAAATTAACATGCATTTCAATCAGGAAACGTTCGTTAACCTATCTGAAAATTCGAATGAGGTGCGACATACCTGAGAACGTCACATCTTCAATCGAACATCGTAATGATGGGGGTAGCACAAAAAAAGTTGAAGATTCACTTATCCAACGAGGTTTGGCTATCAATAAAGGATAAAGGATAAAGCATTTGCCGTTGATCAATCCCTTTTTGGGATGCGGCACGCATTCTACTTCCATTTGTACATTCGCAGTGGCGTTTGAATGCGATGTGGCCTATACAATGACTTGCGGGGCCAGCCGATGTTCAAGTCAGTGTTTTTATCCTCCCAGACAAGTCTGGTACCAATTAACCGACCCCGGAGGGATGGAAGGCTTGGTTGGCCCGGGCGACTCACGACCCAGGATTTGATCCCCGGACCGCTCGCGTGGTGAGCGCGCCACTTGTCACTACACCACTTCCGCCCCAATATCTGAAATGCTGTTCGGGACATTTACAAAACAACCATGGAGTTTGTAAGGGCAACATGAGTGAGACGGGTCCCATGAGCTAGTTACCGTTGTACCCAGGATGACAAAAGAACAAAAAAGTCCAGGCTAATAAAGTTTTCTGCAGGAATTAGCCAGGCTTCACAAGGACATTCCGCGCGGATTCACGAAGATATGGCGATCTCCAGTTGTCTTTCATTCAATGAAGGTCATGTATACGGCAATGTATGAGAACCCAAGTTGGGCCAAACGACGACCATTTTGTACAACATACTAATGAAAATTATGCAAGACAATTTAATCCGCAACAGGCTACACGGCCGAATAAGCACTTCCAATGGTCGCGTGATTCGCCAATATGGATGGCACAGAGATGGTGCACAATTAGAGGCAGCATACCAACTCCAGTGTCCAACCTATAACGAGGTTTATATCGAAGAGACAGGATGACTGTTAGGCATACTTATCACAGAACACCTGGCAGGGAAAAAGGCGAGGAATTTTTGTTACCCAACTGCAAGCAACGATGCCAGAGAGCACCCAAGGATAGCGGTTTTCAGTATTGAATGCAGAATCCTTGCGCTCGAGGATGACCTCGGCGAAATCCAATGTTGAAAGACCGACACGAGTGCCTACAAATGGATTCCTCTTTCATTTCTTTATGTTTATTGTGAGACATTCGCATGTTGCTGGGACCGAACCTTCCAATTGTCATGTATGTCTCCATTTTTCTTATAAGTTTCAAGGTATGAGTGAAATCGTGGCGCTCGTAGAACCAGTAGTTGGTTTCGTTGGTTGAAATCTTCCCCTATTTGCAGCTCTTGAGAAGTATCGTAGGAGGTCGACCGGGTGAGTTACAAGCTAAGGACTTCAGACCGACTTCAGGTATTGGTAGCGATGCGTTGTTTGAAACGTCGACCGAATAAACAGGTTCTATCGTAACAAGCTGTAAGGCAGTACCAACTAAACAATGTTCATGCGGGACTTCCCCGCTTCTTCAAAGGCAGCGAATTTACGATAAATTCAAGAAGGGTTCAGTGTGACGTGGTGGTGCTCAATGGTACGCCAGTAGCGAAAAAAGCAGAGAAATCCGTCAAGAAAACGCAAAACGGGACCCCCTTTTTTGGCCGTTGGTTTTCACTCATGAACAGGTAACAGCTCAGAAATGGACGTATGAACGAGTTCACCGCAACGCGTTTGGTGGCACATGCCAAACTATCGAGATGCTCCTCCATTTGCTAACCACGCAGCTCGTCCAAATCAACAAGTAAACTAGTGGGCGGATCGCTTTTGGGGGCGGAGCGCTTTCGAAGTCCTGCTCAGCAACCAGCGCACCTTTCGTTGTGAAAGCGCCACATCTCGCTCCCCTGGCAACCAAGTAACTGATTTCGTGTGGTGCACATGCTTCCCCGACGCTCTCTCTTATCGTAACCGCTTCCTTCA